TGCCGCGGCAAAACCCTCAATTCCTTCCCAAAATGCCCCCGCTTGATTCCGGCCGCCGTCGCGTCGCCGCGTCCGATGTCCACGCCATCAGATCAGATCTCCGGCGGAAATGGAAGCAAGATCAACCCCTTCGATCCTTCCTACATCAAGAAGCTCGCCGTCGATCCCCTCGTCGTCGAGAAGGTCAAAGAGGAGGAGGAAGCTAGGGCTGACGTGGCACTGGAGGAGGAGGAGGAGGTTGGGGCTGACGTGGCGCTGGAGGAGGAGGCGTGGGGGTATTTGAGGAAGGCGGTGGTGACTTACTGCGGGAGTCGGCGGCGGACGAGCCGGCGACGGCGGCGAGCCCGTTGAATTACGATCAGGTTTTTATTAGGGATTTTGTGCCGTCGGCGCTGGCGTTTTTGTTGAAGGGGGAGAGCGAGATCGTGAGGAATTTTCTGCTGCATACGTTGCAATTGCAGGTGAGTTTTTAATTTTTTTGGGGGAAAATTTGCCATTTTTATGGATTCATTTTGCGGATTTTGGTAAAAGATGGACTTTTAGTCGGGAATTTTCGTTATTTTACTAGTTTCTCCTCTGATTCTTTAGATATTTTTTAATGAAAAAATTGGAAGTAACATAATAAATTTTGTTGTAACTTTGTTCGATTCTGAGAATTTAACCTTGTCTGTTATATTGATCTTGTCTGTTAATTGGTGCTGTGTTCTCCCCAAAATGAGATTAATTACCTCCTGATGCAATATTTTCCCTTGATTGTTTGAGGTTTCAAAAAGTAGATCCATTGAAAACTTCAGTTTTCCATGGATTTCTTGATCTTTGAAGTAATCAGTTGTAATGTGATCCCAGTTCGTGTTTCATAATTAATTAGTTATGATAAAAGAACTATTTATATTTATCTAATAGTATGAGTCATGTTATAGCCTCTATCTTATGAATCCTTACATAAAGATTCCCTACATATGCATATTGGATATATCACTCTATTACAGCAAGTGGTATCTAATGAATCTATGTCTCTAAATTATGAGATGTATGCTTCTTCTAACGTGCATGAAGAGTTTTTTCCTTGCAAGATTGATTATTACTGTTTGTCATGCTAAATCTATCTGTCTCAATGTTCTTTTAGGGGCTTCTGTCTTTGTGCATTGTTGCTATCTTTGTTACGTAATTGAAATTTAATTTTCCACTAAATCTATCTGTCTCAATGTTCTTTTAGTGGCTTCTGTCTTTGTGCATTGTTGCTATCTTTGTTACGTAATTGAAATTTAATTTCCATAGAAACATTTCCCGGAAATTTATCCATTTCCGTAATGTCTAACTACTGCATCTCTCTGTGGAATGCCATTGTTATGGCTGTAGAGGACTTTTTTTGGTCTTTGTTGAGTGCGAGGAGAATTGATTGTTTCTTAGTAGATTGAGTTGTAAGAATTTCTAGTGCTATCTTTGCCTGTTCAATTGCTTAGATATTAGTCTGAACTATATCTCTCTTTTTTGCTTCAATCCCTTTAATTATGTATCAGCCTTATTTTGTAGCTTTGATAGTTTTTCTCTTCGGCAGCAAGATGGAAAAAAGATGTTCCTTGAAATAAGCTGATAAAATGCGTAGTCCTTCTACTGAAAAAACTGAATTTAACAATATTTGTTGACTCGGATATTAAGACATCAATATAAGACATCTGTAGAAATATCAACAGTAACTCTTGCAGAAAAGCTGGAGAAGAATTTAAGAGTATCGTCACACTAAAAGCCACCATGACGAAGCTTCTTGATCATGAAGTTAACACGTGTAACTTTCCATATGTTCTATTTCACAATTCTAAAGCTTTTGCCTTTTCCTTAACATCCAGAGCTGGGAAAAGACTGTAGATTGTTACAGCCCTGGACAGGGGTTGATGCCCGCTAGTTTTAAGGTGAGAAGTGCACCTCTGGATGGAAGCAATGAATCATTTGAGGAAGTCCTTGATCCTGATTTTGGGGAATCAGCCATAGGAAGAGTAGCCCCAGTTGATTCTGGTGAGTAATAGAAATTTGTATATCTTTTCAACTAGTAAAATTATTAAGCATGATGAATATGAAGAATTTTGGAGGCACACTCTTTTTGTAGGATTATGGTGGATTATCATTTTGAGAGCGTATGGGAAGATTACCGGAGATTATGCATTACAAGAGAGAGTGGATGTACAAACAGGCATCAGATTGATCTTGAATTTGTGTTTATCAGATGGATTTGATATGTTTCCTACTTTGCTAGTGACTGATGGCTCTTGCATGATAGATCGAAGGATGGGCATTCATGGGCATCCTCTTGAGATTCAAGTGAGTGAGCGGTGATAACCACCTAGAATTTTCTCAAAAAGTCAATTATTTTAAAAGTTTTCTGAGATTTTTGAACTTAGAATCATGTTATTTCCATTCTGTACGCAGTTAAATTCTAACAAATACATCCTTCCCTAACCTAATTAACCATATCCTTCTTTTTTTTTCCGGTTAATTGCTACAAATGTTCATCCTATCATTGTTCGATGTTTAATACTTGGTAGTGATCTTTACAAGTTAATGATGATGTAAATGCCACGTGGATGCCAAAATATTATTTTGGTACCTCCATAATTAGTTGTTAGATAACTTCCTCTTTGAGGTAAATTTCTTTTCATATTTGTCTCAATAATCTTTAAAGTTTGTCGGCAAAATAATGAAATAAAAACCTTCAATAAGTTTTTTCCCGTCCCAGTTACTGTAAAAATTCTAAGATGAGTCTTTGACAAGTTTTATTTCACAGGCCTTATTCTATTCAGCCCTTCGCTGCTCTCGGGAGATGATCACTGTCAATGATGGATCTAAGAATCTTCTACGCGCAATCAATAATAGGCTCAGTGCATTATCTTTCCACGTGAGGGAGTATTATTGGGCTGATATGAAAAAAATCAATGAGATCTACCGATACAAGACTGAAGAGTACTCCCATGATGCTACTAACAAGTTCAATATTTATCCTGATCAAATTCCTTCGTGGTTAGTGGATTGGATGCCTGAAAAAGGAGGGTATCTCATTGGTAATCTCCAGCCTGCTCACATGGATTTCAGGTTCTTTTCACTTGGGAATATTTGGGCTATAGTTTCATCTTTGACTACTCCAAAACAAGCTGAGGGAATTTTGAATCTTATTGAGGAGAAGTGGGATGATTTTGTGGGAAATATGCCGCTAAAGATTTGCTACCCAGCTTTGGATTATGAAGAATGGCAAATAATCACTGGTAGCGATCCCAAGAACACGTAAGTCCTATTGAATGCATCCACTTTTAGCTCATTGTGTGGCTTTTTTAGCATGACAGCAAGAAAACATTCTGCATTACCTACCTTAATGTCCTGAAACCTTTATAATCTATAGCATGACATTTGAATAATGAGTATCTACCTTATGTTTTTAAGCTAGAAAATATGTGCTGACAGATCAATTAGTAAGCACTCTGAGGAAACTATCGTTGCTTCTGTTGTAAAGTTCAACCTAAAAACATATAAAATGTTATCCTGTGAGATGCTTATAAAAAATATGACATTGAAAAAGAAAGTTATTATATAAGCATGATCATGATTCAGATGTTGTAAAGAGAAAGTTCGAATATATATGACATAATCAGTTGTATTTTGGAAGTAGGAACACTTCAAAATGCCATAAAAAATATTTAGCAGTGTGTATGTTCCTATGGAGTATAGCTCTAACGCAGATAAAAGCTATCGCATCTTAAAAAAATTTGAATGTTTCTCAAGAACAGTGGTTACACTGATGTAGGTTCATGATTCAATTGTTCTATTATTCTTCAGGAATGTGACTTCTTAAGTGAACTCATCATACTGCCAAAAGTCTTATTTCACCACATTTAACCACTTGTGCTTTTCCTGTCCATTAGCCAATCCCCAACATTTGCGATAAAGGCTTTGATGTTGTTGTCGATGTTGCTTTTCCTCACCATTTTGGGATCGTTAACCTCTTTTCTTTTCCAATATCCCATTGTTGCTTCCAACTATGTATCTCCTGAGTAAATGTCAAGAATTACTGCATCATTCCTGGTCAATCTCACACCACAGTTCATAATAGAATGAGAAAGATAAGTTGATGCACACCATAAACATAGAGGACATGCATCATTGTAGCCTATTCTTTCATGTATCATACACAAATGCTGATTCTTAATACCCTCACTCAAAGAAACTCCATTTGACTTGAAACATTATCTTTTGCAGTCCTTGGTCATACCATAACGGCGGATCTTGGCCTACTTTGCTCTGGCCGGTAAAATTCTACATCCATATCAACTCTTCTCCTAACCCTAGTAAAAATAACTCTCTCCCATTGCCATTTACAGTTCACATTGGCCTGCATCAAGATGGGCAGGCCTGAACTTGCCAGGAAAGCCGTAGCTGTAGCCGAGAAGAGACTCTCTAATGACAAATGGCCAGAATATTATGACACAAGAACTGGAAGATTCATCGGTAAGCAATCAAGACTTTACCAAACATGGACTGTTGCTGGATACTTAACCTCTAAAATGCTACTAAAAAACCATGAATTAGCCTCTATACTAACTTGTGAAGAAGACCTCGAGCTTCTTGAGGGCTGTGCTTGTAACCTAAGCAAGAGTGCTCGAACCAAGTGCTCCCGTCCAGCTGCAAAATCCCATATTTATTGATTAAATATACTGTACAGTATGATAAGAGCAAAACCCTAAGTTTAGATTTTTCATTCGATTGACCTATGTTTATCTCACAATAGATTCCTGTTATTTTAGTTGGGATCTTGGTGGTTGAGATGTTGACATAGGTTTTGGGCTGTATGTTTTGTTGATGCAGTCCATGATTTAGGTTTACTGCTAACATTTGCATGTATTGAGTAAAAAATTGTAATCTTATGTCCTGAATTGTTTGTATTTATGTAAATTGAGGGTTCTTATTGATGTATATACACACACATGATTGATGATATCATTGTTGGATTCTGATAATAAACTGAAATCAGTGGATCTGAAGTTGGATATTGTTTCATGTGTGGATGTTTGGATTATGACTAACTAAGATTTTCGAAACTTAATTTCCATATTCTGAGGTTATTATTTTGAACTGTAGTTTAATTTCATTAGTTTCTGGTTGATGATGGGGAATCTAGGGAACTAGCATACTTTTGGGTTAGTTGATAAGTTGGTTAAAAAGGAAATATAATGTTTTAATCTGATTGGGCAAGAAAATTTATAAGGATATCCGTGAATTTTCTAAGTTGATTTCTAGTTAATTTTGTCTCTCAATATGTCAAATTGCATGTATTTTGTTGACGTTTGAAAGATATCCGTGAATACCATTCAAGTAAATTTTCATTTTTATATTGCCTGCCCTTTCAGTAAATGCCTTTGTCTATAGAAACACTAGAGACACACTCTTAAACCACACTATCAACCACACCCCTCTCTATCTATAGTGTTTGTTGGGCCCCACATGTTTTACTAACCACACTATCAACCACACCCCTCTCTATCTATAGTGTTTGTTGGGCCCCACATGTTTTACTAAAAAAATCATAAAGACACTATAGATAGAGAGGGGTGTGGTTGATAGTGTGGTTTAATGGTGTGCCTCTAACACTACTCTTTGTCTATGACTACCCGCACACTTCTATTTTGCGTGAAAAGTTGTTAAAAAATAGGAAAAATTGCTTCTAGGTCCCAAAATCCAACTTTCAATGTGTTGCAGCCCTTGTTTTTGAAAAAAATTGTGTCAAGACCCCTCCATCATGATTCCAGCTCATGCCAGCGGATGATTAGACATGCCAGCTCATGATTAGACATGCTAGCTGGTCTAAATCCTAATTTTACCCTCCTCTTTTTCATGCCAGTGGATGTTAACTTTTACGATTAACATGTTAACTCTTACGGTTAACATGTTAACTCTTACAGTTAACATGTTAACTCTTACAGATAACATGTTAAATATTAATAGTTAACATGTTAATCGTAAGAGTTAACATGATAACCATGATCGTCGCCGGCCACACGAAGTTCCTCGGGATGACGTCGGCGGCGGAGCGGGGGAGGAGGCAGAGGGGGAGGGGGGGGTGTAGGGGAGGGGTAAAATCAGGATTTTTGAAGAGGTTGCATTGGAACTTGGGGGGAGGGGTCCGGACACAATTTTTTCAAAAAAAAAGGCTGCAACATATTATTGAAGGGGGGGAGGGGGGCTAGAGCACATTGAAAGTTGGATTTTGGGGCTTAGAAGCAATTTTCCCTAAAAAAATATCTTATGCATGAGGAGTGAAATATGCTTGGATGAATTAGATGTTAGTTTCAAACTTCTTAAAGGTATCAAGTTATCAGAAGCGATGAGTATTTCATCTCAAGCAAAATTAGAACGAGGCTAGATCAACGCTCCTCATCCTGTTTCTTTTTCTTAGCCTCATTGGTCTTCCTTAATATTTCCATGGAAGGAATAACTTTCGACCAAAAACGTTGCAAATATTAGGGCTGTTTGGTTGGTTTCTTAAAAATCAAGAAAATGAAATCTTTGTACTTTTTTCATTAACATGTTATTTTTATTTATTTCCATCCCTAAAAGTCACCACAAGAAAAGAAAATATATACACTTCTATCAATAAAATATTTTTATCTACCAACTCATCACATATCATCTCTTTTTTTACTTTTAAAAATAAACCAAACACAAGAAATGAGTCACATCATCCAACTCATCTCATCTCATCTTTAAAAATCACTCACGTCATCCAATAATATGGTGACAACTCATCTCATCTCATTAACATTTTATTTTCACTCATTTCCTAAAAAAAAACCAAGGAAATTGATTTCCTTAATGCCCTGTTTGGATGGAGGGTAGAGAGGGGGAGGGGAAGAGAAATGAGGCTTTCACCTTGTTTGAGAGTTTTTTTAAGGAAGGTAGAGAGGAGGAAGGAATTTTCTTTCCCCCCGATTTGGGCGGATTTGGGCGGTAGAGGAGGGTAAATGGGTGTAATGACATTCTTACCCCCATCAAAACAAATAAAAGGGCTGATGTGTTATTAGTATAAAGTCATTTATGTAAATTTACATATATTTACTTCCTTTCATCTTCATTCACCTTACTCAACTCCCAAACAACATATTACAATTCTCTTCCCTTCCCTTCCCTTCCCGTTGTTTACCTTTCCTTCCCTTGCCTTAGTAAACTCCCAAACACACCATAAGTGTGGGTCACATCATCCAATAATATAATGACATCTCATCTCATCTATTTTCTTATTTTTAAGAATGAATCAAACAAAGGAAAAGAGCCTATTATAGAAAATATGTTTTTTATAATACATTTTCTTATTTTTTTAACGAACCAAACAACCTCAAAATAAGTTTTCTTAAAAAATCACTTACATCATCCAATAATATGGTGACAACTCATCTCATCTCATATTCTTTGATTTCCTTCTTTTTTTAGCCAACCAAACAACCATAATACAAGTTTTTCTATTCTTTGATTTCCTTTTTTTTAGGCAAACAAGCAGCCCCTTAGAGGAAAATGACATTCTTTAAGATGATGGAATATTGCGAGGATGGTGAGAGCTATGCCAGTCTGAAGGCTTTCTACGAGTCTCTCAAGATTTTCTGACGATGTAGACGCAAACTGGAAATGATATTATGTTAGCAACATGTAAAACTATAAAATTATGATTTTATAACAAATATGTTGCTTAAGTAAAAATTATGATTTTATATAGAAATATTTTGAAAGCAGATAAAGAACCCGTATATGAGCAATAATATCAACTCAGAAAAAATATGGTTAACTTAAAAAAACACAACTTTGGGGTTGCTGTAGATAACCCCTTAAAAATTATTTCACAAAATCACCTTGAAGTCTGAAGGGTTTTGCACATAATCTGCAACGAACTTTTTTTTTATTCCACTAAAATCTTTAAAGGTTTGCACTTTAAACGTGAAAGTAATGCCGGCAAGTGACTCAAGTCTAATGTGTTATGTACCGAGTAGTTGACCCAAAAAGATGAAAATAGCCTTCAATTTTAGGGAAATAATAAAAATAGATGAAAGAATGGCTTTATTGGTTTATAACACGGTTTATCTTTTTCGGTGAAAAATGAGATGGCAACTATATTTTGAGGATTCATATATTTTTTTTTTAATAACTAGTGTGGAATCAAACTCAATGCTATGAGAGTCATGCTGGAATCTCACAACCATCTAGATCATTCATGGAGTGAGTCCATATTTCTTTTCAATTTTTAACTATGTGCTAAGGACCAATTTGTATGTGAGGTTAGTAGTCAGGTTACTAGTCCCCAATTGTAGGAATCCCCATGATCTATTCAGCAAAAGTAGTTGACCCGACCTAGTCGACTCCTAATCGCCAACAACAGTCTTCAAAAGAGTATCTCTCGGGCACTCGCCCCAAGAAGTCCAGACATCGACTAGCAAGAGCAGTCGACCAAGTTGGTTCCATACTTAGACAACAAACAAACACATCAGAAACAACGGCTTGAATTCGAGACGTGTATTCTCCTAACAAAGGACGAGTACCCTCGAGTCGGCAGTCAAATTTATAAGTCTATAATGGAGTTAAGTCATTCAGAAGACATCAATCAAGATTGCACAATACAGAGAAAGCAATTTCTGGCTCAAAAACATTTCTTTATTCATTTATAAAGAATATTTACAAGATACAATGTATACATATATACAACGAGAGTAAGAGACAGAGAAGTCCTAGGAGGCTATGAAAAGTCTATTTTCGCTCCTGGAGTCGTAAGCGGGGAACCCCTGGGAGCAGCCGGCGGAGGAGTCGAGCAGTCTCCTCCTTTGTCTGATTCTCCCTCATCCTCATCGAGATCAAGCCTCTCTCCAAGTGCTTCCACCTCCACCAGCTCGTCCAAACACTTGGCCATGATAGGAGGGTAATGGAAGCTATTGGGTGGGTTCATCATCTCAGTTGGAAGCTGCGCTGAGAGGTAGTCGTACCATGTCTTGCAGGCGATCGCCACTTCAGTTTTGCCAGTTAAGCTCTGATGAAACCCCTCGATGATCTCTTGGTGGTAAGCCTTCGACTCGAGATAAGCGTTGCAGCTTTGGGTTGCCGTCAGAGACTCCTGCAAGTGGACGACCTCCCCTTGAAGTTTAGCAAATGCGGCATGCTCCTTGTCTAGTTGATGTCTCGCATGCGTTGTCGCCTCCTTCTCCATCTCGACCAGCATCATTGTGCGGTCCCTCTCTCGGAGAGCCTCGTCCAGTCTCCTGGTCTTCCTCTTGCTCTCCTCTAACTCCCACTTGAGCCGTAGACCTCGGAAGCACTTAGGGCTGGCGCCTCCGCAGCCTGTTCCGAGTTGGCCCCTCTATTGGCCCTCAGAGAAGTAACCTCCCCTAAGAGCTTGAGATATGCAGTCCAGACCCGCTCCATTTGACCGTATAACTTATTCTCCACCAAAAGCATCCCGAAAAAAGTAGCTATGAAGGCTATGGTGGAGGCAGATATTAGGAATCCCTTGCAAATGCTCCTCATCCTGAGGAAGTCAAAATTTCTCAACCACCTTTGACTGAATCAGGCGAGAGCTTAAGACAGTTCCCCGGACGTCGAGATAGTGTTCAGGCTTGAAGTGGTGCTCCGGGTCGGGCTCCTGTCCATATCGAGAGCTGACCCCTGAAATCCTGATGAGGTACTTCCTCATCCTCTCCCACTCTTCTTCTCCAATGTCAAAGATGCGGTGAGGAAAAGGATATTGTAGCCCTGTGGGAGGCATAATCTCCTCCTCGATTGGCTCCTTCCCCCTAATGAGTTGACTTACCGCAGTGACCAGATGATTCTCCCTCTCCGGCCAAGGCTCTGGCCTCAACTCCCTCGTCTTGAGGAGCCTCAACTAGTTTTCCCGAGGCTGACTCATCCAAACGAATAACATCGGTCTTGACCATCTCAGTCGC